AGCAGCTACCAGCTCCCTCCTTGTATTAAAAAACATTCCTAACACCCCCTGCTTTTAAACCTATGGGGGTCACTATAATCCCTGTATTAAGAAAAGGGAGGTTAAATCCTCCCACATGCCCCTACTCGCGGCATGCTGCAAGTAGGGGCATTTCGCCTAAACAAATTTAAAAGTACTAGTGACTAGTGCAATAAGGGGGGGACCTGGCACAGTTTAAATCATCTCGCATGCCCCTACCTGTGCCAGGACCCCCCGTGTAGTTGGGACATGTCGCCTAAACAGCGAGCAGCTAGTGGCTGCTTGTTGTCATTTAAAACTACTAGTAACTGGGCAGCTATTGCTGCCCAGCCACTAGTGCCATAAGGGGGACCTGGCACAGGTCCCCCCATTTCCCAAGGGTGGAGAACACAAATAACTAAAATTGGGAGGACATAGTGCCACCCCCAAGCCCCCTCTCTAATGTCACTCATAACCCTCTAAATTGTTGCTTTCAAAAAAGAAAGCAACCAATCAGAGGGTTATGAGTCAAATTACAAAGCATGGGAAAATTCCAAAGAACTTTCCCACGCTGTGTAAAATGACACAGAGCATTCTGATTGGTTGGATTCCAAGCCAACCAGAGTGCTGTGACAGGTAAATGTAGAGACTTACCTGTCAGAGCACTCTGATTGGTTGGCTCAAACCAACCAATCAGAGTACTCTGAGCCTAATTGCTGGGCGTGGGAAGTCCTTATAAGCCTTTCCCTGCCCTGCCAAGCTCAGTCTGTGCCGTGCTCTCACTGGCTGAAGAAGAATTATTTTTTTTAGCGTAGGGATTTTTTTATTTTTTTTGCGGATTTTTTTTTGTGCTTGGGTTTTTTTATTTTAACAGTTGCAACAGGTATTAATGATTTTTATTTGGCCTTTTTTGGGGGCTGAAGAAAGAAAAGAAAAGAAGAAAGAAGACATCTAATGGTAAGTATAACATTTTATTGTACAGGGTTAGTTTATTGCCTCTCACCCTCAATATTATTAGTGTGAGGGGGAAGGTAGGGTATTTCTATTGGGGGGAGTGACTATGGGCTTGTCACCCATGACTGGCGGTAGGGGATCTGTTCCATCATTTATTTATTTAGGGTCCCCACCTGCCACTTATTGGGACCACTAGGTCCCCTCCATTATTTATTTATTTAGGGTGCCCACCCGACGCTCATGGGTGGGGATCTGGGGGGACATGCGGGAGGATTTAACCTCCTTTTTATCAATATGAGGGACATAGTGACTCCCATAGATTTTAATGGGGGGGGGTAGGTTATAATAATATTACAAGGAGGGTGTTGGTAGCGCTGCCGGCTCCCCCCTTGCTTTTTGGGTTTTTTCTCACATGCGCAGTGTTATTTTCTCTGTGCTGTGGGGGTTAATTCCCCTGCAGCTCGGAGTCTATTAAACAAACGAAACAAAATTAAAAGGTAATGTGTTCGGCATTTGCCCTTTCGTTTCATTTATATTTCGTATGTAAAGCTATTGTTTACATTTTAGTAAACAAATACAAAAATTTTCGAATTTTCGCAAGAAATCATATTCGTATGAAAACAAATGTCTAGTAACAAATGATCTAAACATGGCTAACTCCAAAAGCCACTACTCTATACTAATTCTTCTTGACATCTCTGATTTTGCTACCACCTGTACAACAATATAACCCAGATATATCTCTCCTCCCCTGATCTCTTCCCAGTCTCCTGATCTCTTACTCAAAGGCATCACAAGTTGTCTTTCTTCCATCTTTGATTGGATGTCCTCTGGTTTTCTAAAACTCAATCTCTCTATATTTTTCCTCATCATAATACCAATCCTCCTCTTCCGTTGCCCATGCAAGTTGATGGTGCCCTTGTCAGTCTGTCCTTGCAAGCTTTCTGTCTTGGTGTTATCTTTAATTCTGACCTCACCTTTACGCCACACAGCCTCAATTTCACCTTAAAAACATTGCAAATGTCTGCCCCTTTCTTATGCAAGACATTTCTTGCATTTATTACTGTAATTTTCTCCTAATTCCCAGAAGATGTACTGTATTGCTACAGTCTGTAATGAATTCTGTCACCAGACTGATTTTCTTTCCTGTTGCTTATCTCACACCTCTTCCCTCTGTCAATACTTACATTGGCTTCCTGTTTTCTAAAGGAGACAATTCAAAATGGTAACCCTTGCCTATAAAGCTCTAAACAACTTTAGTCCCTTTTACATTTCTTCACTGATCATAGGTATGCCCCATCTTCGTTCTCTGCTCTGCCAGTGACCTTCTCCTGCCTGCTACTCACACCCCGGCTGCTAACTTAGGATTGCAAGATTTCTCCTTTCCTTTAGAACAGCCTGCCTACCCCATCAGACTCTCATCTAGTCTATATTCATTGAAGAAGTCCCTCAAAACCCATCTCAAAAACAATCTCTTCAGAAAAGCATATAACCTCACAGAGTAACTTCTATTTAATCCTGTGTCTTGCTCTCTCTTAAATGGCCACACTCCAGTCTCCACTCTCACCTTCCAGCTCTGCTACTTTCCCAACATGGTTGTTTTATTGCGGTCCCTCCCTCGATGCTCTTTCTATTGTGGTTTTTCCCTCACCTCCTCTAGACTGCAAGCTCATTTGAGCTGGATCTTCACTAACCAATTTTCCTGTAACATTTTGTAATTGTCTTCTGTATTGTTCAATTTCCCCCTTTTATAACATTGTAAAGTGCTGCGGAATAAGTTGGTGCTATATAAATACCAATAATAACAACAATAATAATAATATTGACCCTCATAGCTTAATTTTTATTTTAATGTGGCAGCTGGCTAGCAAACACTTGCCAGCCACCACATGATTAACATTTTTTCAGCCACATTAATGAAATTCGGTTTGCTTTAATCAAAACTGTCTTGAATCAAATTAATGAAAATAAAACCCCAAAAAGTTTGTTTTAAGGTTAGCATCAGCCAGTAATGATTAGCAACAGATTTGAAAACCAGTCAGAAAACACTTTCTGAGTAGAGGTTAGTGAATCTAACAGTAGTGACAAGCATTTAAGCAATTAGTGGAAGACTGGTAAAAAAGTAGAATTGCCGAAGTGCCGAATTTCCAAAGTGCTGAATTGCCGAAGTCCCAAAGTTAGGAAGTGCCGAACCGAACTGAAGTGCCGAAGTCCCGAATTGCTGAAGTCCTGAATTGCAAAAGTCTTGAATTTCAGAAGTCCAAACCGAACCAAACTTTTTACCCATGCACATCCCTAGTAAAAAGTAGCAACCGCATAGGAAAAGAGCCAATATTTTGCTGTTTAAATTTGAATTATCATAAAGGTTCTGAAAAAGAATGCCTTGTGTATTTTTCTATGTGTTCAAATCTGCTTATATGGGATCATTTACACGCATACATAGGTTATAATTGTGTTTGCTTGTTTCTATATTAAATTTTGCTGTGCTCAAAAGTCTGTTTGCTTTGTATTCAAGCACCATAACAGACTATACCAGTTTATGACGCACATCGTGCAAATATGGTGTGACAAAAAAGTTAACAGTTAACTGTTCTCCTATATGAATGTTTTGGATGAATAATGGTGGAGTGAAACTAGCAGCAAAATTAATGTGAGAATATGAAAGTATTTTAGTAAGAAGGATACAATGTGATTTCCTTAGTTTTAAAGCAAAAACTGGATCATTTTTCTTATTATCCAAGCTGCTGTAAGATTTTGTTGACCTGCCCAGGATTCAAACCTGTGACTCCTAAGTTTATAACGACACAAAATATAATACAGCTAGTTCACTGGTCACTTGAGAACTTACTGGCTAAAGTCAATGTACTACTGTGCCCTTCAAATGCTTCACATCTTTTATTTTTCTTATTTTTAATATTCTGTAAAAAAGAGGAACAAAGCTGTCTTTTTTAAATAACTAGTACAATTCCTAGAGGGCTTTATAAATTAACAGAAAGATGTCCATACAGGGCAACATTCTCCATGCTGTTTAAGAGCTATGGGAATTGTAATATTTCAATGAAAGTCGGTGCCCCTGAGGTTATGTAATAATTATTTTATAAATAGATATGCTGAGGTGAAGGAATTTTAACTACACACAAAAACACAACTATATAATGATTTTAACTGTTCAAGTCTTTAACCCCTTAAGGACACATGACATGTGTGACATGTCATGATTCCCTTTTATTCCAGAAGTTTGGTCCTTAAGGGGTTAATCAAATCCTTACACTTTGTGTTCCATTCTTGTGAATATATACACTTGCAATATATCTGTTAAGATATATGTATACACCTATGATAAGTGTTATTTATCATGTTATTGTAATTGCTCATCTATATTCTCCAAAACTAGCTGCTTGTTTTCTAACCATATTTTAAGTAACAAAATTAAACAAATGAATAGTGATGTCTCGAACATAAAATTTTCGGTTCGCAAACGGCGAACATGAACTTCCGCGAAACGGGCGAACCGCCATAGACTTCAATAGGCAAGCGAATTTTAAAACCCACAGGGACTCTTTCTGGCCACAATAGTGATGGAAAAGTTGTTTCAAGGGGACTAACACCTGGACTGTGGCATGCCGGAGGGGGATCCATGGCAAAACTCCCATGGAAAATTACATAGTTGATGCAGAGTCTGGTTTTAATCCATAAAGGGCATAAATCACCTAACATTGCTAAATTGTTTGGAATAACATGCTTTAAAACATCAGATATGATGTTGTATCGATCAGGTAATGTAAGGGTTACGCCTGCTTCACAGTGACAGACCAAACTCCCCGTTTAACGCACCGCAAACAACCGCAAACAACCGCAAACAGTCCATTTGCACAACCGCAAACTCCCCATTTGCACAAGGTTGGATACCAAGCTAGCCATGTCCCGTTCCTTGTCCTCACTGATGTCATTGAAGGTCTCTTCCTCCACCCAGCCACGTACAACACCAAGGGTCCCCAAAAGGTGACAACAAGCCCCCTGGGACGCCTGCTGTGTTTGGTCTTCCACCTCCTCAAAGCCACCTTCCTCCTCTGACTCCTCTTCTTCAGACTCCTCTCTCTGCGTTGCCTCTCTCTGCGTTATTATAAGGTGTGTTAAGTAATATTATTCCTATCAGTTTAATCCCTGTTACGTCCCCTATCAGGGGACGTGTATATGGCATCGATTTTAGGAACCGGGAGATGGAAAAAGATGCTTGGTCGGTCCTCCTACTTCAAATTTGGGGCACTGCGCGTGCAATCTAATGTGCCACCAGATAGGAGTGGTGTGTTAAGTAGTACTATTCTTATCAGTTTATTCTCAATGTCACGACTACTAGTGTAGTCCAGCACGCAGAAACTATGTAAACATATACATAGGCAAGAAAAGGAAAATAAAAGGACAGAGCGTAAACCGGACCTTAGAATGGCCGGACTAATACGCTAGAGACAGAGAATTGTCAAAGGGAAAGCCAGGGTCAAGGAAGCCAGAAAATACACAATACCATTTACACAAGCCAAGTCAGGGAAACCAGAATTCAGAATAACCAGGGAAAAGCCAAGATCAGGATACCAGGAAATCAGATTCACAATGATAAAGCACTCTCAGGAAACCAGGAACAGGAAACCACGACAGGGCAAGGTACTGGGGTGAGCTAGGGATTTAAATATCACGCGGCGGGCCGGCAGCCGCGACACCCTGTTACGTCCCCCTCATCAGGCCTTTTTTAGTCGAATGTATCGCCCACTGTCAGTCCCTTCGGGATCCATCCCTCATTCATCTTAATAAAGGTGAGGTAATCTAGACTTTTTTGACCTAGGCGACTTCTCTTCTCAGTGACAATACCTCCTGCTGCACTGAAGGTCCTTTCTGACAGGACACTTGAAGCGGGGGAGGCCAGAAGTTCTATCGCAAATTGGGATAGCTCAGGCCACAGGTGAAGCCGGCACACCCAGTAGTCAAGGGGTTCATCGCTCCTCAGAGTGTCGATATCTGCAGTTAAGGCGAGGTAGTCTGCTACCTGTCAGTCGAGTTGTTCTCTGAGGGTGGACCCCGAAGGGCTGTGGCAATGCGTAGGACTTAAAAAGCTCCGCATGTCCTCCATCAACAACACGTCTGTAAAGCGTCCTGTCCTTGCCGGCGTAGTCGTGGGAGGAGGAGGATTACTTTCACCTCTTCCCCTGTTAGATTCCCGTTGACATCACCCTTATACGCTGTGTAAAGCATACTTTTTAATTGATTTTGGAACTGCTGCATCCTTTCCGACTTGCCGTAATTCGGTAACATTTCAGGCACTTTCTGCTTATACCGGGGGTCTAGTAGTGTGGACCCCCAGTACAGGTCGTTCTCCTTCAGCCTTTTTATACGAGTGTCCCTTTAACAGGCACGACAGCATAAAAGACCCCATTTGCACAAGGTTGGGTGCTGAGCTACTCATGTCCTGTTCCTCGTCCTCAGTGATCTCACTGAAGGTTAGTGATGTCGCGAACATAAAATTGTCGGTTCGCGAATCGCGAATGTGAACTTCCGCAAATGTTCGCGAACTGGGCAAACCAGGCGAACCGGGCGAACCGCCATAGATGTCAATAGGCAGGCTAATTTTAAAACCCACAGGGACTCTTTCTGGCCACAATAGTGGTTGAAGGGGGGGGAGGAGACCTACTCTCCTCCCCCCCCGGCCCCCACCCCTGGGCGGCAGGTGGGGCCATAAAGATATTGAGGGGGGACCTACTGTCCTCCCCCTCTCCGGCCCCCACCCCTGGGTGGTGGGTGGGGGCCATAATGATAATGGGGGGGACCTACTGTCCTCCCCCCCTGCCCCCACCCCTGGGCGGCGGGTGGGGGCCATAAAGATAATGAGGGGGGGACCTACAGTCCTCCCCCTCTCCGGCCCCCACCCTTGTGCGGTGGGTGGGGGCCCTAAAAATAACAATAAGGGGGGGACCTACTGTCCCCGCCGGCCCCCACCCCTGAGCCGTGGGTGGGGGCCCTAATAACAATAAGGGGGGACCTATTGTTCCCCCCGGCCCCCACCCCTGAGCGGTGGATGGGGGCCCTTAATACAAAGGGAGGGGGGGACCCTAGTCACCCCTCCCCCCCAAAAAAAATATTTTTTTTTATGGCTTTTTATTTGGCCTTTTTTGGGGCTGAAAAAAGAAGATTGTAGAAGAAAGAAAACATCAAATGGTAAGTTATTTTTATCTAATTTTTTTTTTTTTTACAGGCTTTTAGTTAAAGGCCCCCCTCATTATTTTTACAGTGAGGGGGGTAGGTAGGGAGCTCATTTTTTTGGGGGGGGGTGAATAGGGTCCCCCCCTTTGCATTTAGGGTCCTTACCCACCGCTCAGGGGTGGGGGCCGGGGGGGGACAGTAGGTCCCTCCCTTATTGTTAATTTTAGGGCCCCCACCCACCGCTCAGGGGTAGGGGCCGGGGGGGGACAGTAGGTCCCCCCCTTATTGTTAATTTTAGGGCCCCCACCCACCGCTCAGGGGTGGGGGCCGGGGTGGACAGTAGGTCCCCCCCTTATTGTTATTTTTAGGGCCCCCACCCACCGCTCAGGGGTGGGGGCCGGGGGGAGGACAATAGGTCCCCCCCTATTAGTATTTAGTGCCCCCACCGGGGGGGGACCCTTTTTTTTTAAAACAGCCACAGGCTGCTCACTGTTTAATAGACATGCAATACCGTGAGTAGGGGCACAATTTACTAATACTAAGTAAGTTTTACTTAGTATTAGTAAATTAATAGGGGGCGGACCGAACATCGCATATGTTCGCCATCCGTAGCGAATGCGAACACGCTATGTTCGCCAGGAACTATTCGCCAGCGAACCGTTCGGGACATCACTACTGAAGGTATGTTCTTTCCCCCCAGCCACGTACAACACCACGGGTATCAGATAGGCGACAACGAGCACCCTGAGATGCCTGTTGTGGTTGGTCTTCCTCCTCCTCCTCAAAGCCACATTCCTCCTCTGACTCCTCTTCCTCACAATCCTCTTCCAGCGTTGCCGCAGGTCCAGCAAGCGATGCTAATAAGGCTGTTTCTGTTGGTGATGGTGACCACAACTCTTCCTCTTCACGCTCATCTACGGCCTGATCCAGCACTCTTCGCAGGGCACGCTCCAGGAAGAAAACAAATGGTATGATGTCGCTGATGGTGCCTTCGGTGCGACTAACTAGGTTTGTCATCTCCTCAAAAGGATGCACTTTTATTTTATTCATACTACTGTATTGCACTATGGTCTATATTTTATTTTACAGAATATCTGTTATATTGCTATCTTAAGAAGCTCCACCTGATTTATGTATGTATATTGTTGATTTTAAAGTGGTAAAGGGGACACCACTTTGAGGTGTACAGAGTTTCGCATTGATTATCTTCCACACTGTGCACACATTTGTTATATTACTACAGGCATTGCGCATGAGCGTCCAGTAACGTGGCAAAAAAATTCCCAGCTCCGCAGAGGCTGTCCTAGCACCCCGGTCATACAAATACTCGTTAACGGCTTTTTCTTGTTGGAGCAGGTGGTCGAACATTAGGAGTGTTGAATTCCAACGTGTCGGGCTGTTGCAAATCAAGCACCTCACTGGCATGTTTTTTTGATGCTGGATATCTAAAAAGTGCGCCATGGCCATGTAGGAACGCCTGAAATGGCCACACACCTTCCTGGCCTGCTTCAGGACGTCCTGTAAGCCTGGGTACTTATGCACAAAGCGTTGTACGATCAGATTACACATATGTGCCATGCACAGCACATGTGTCAACTTGCCCAAATGCAATGCCGCCAACAAATTTATTCAGTTGTCACAAACCACTTTGCTGATCTCCAGTTGGTGCGGAGTCAGCCACT